AAGAAGTTTAGTCAAGAAGGGCAGAAGAGAAATGAGGCAGTAGCTAGGAGGGATAGCCAGATCAAGTGACAGTTTCTCAAGGATGGAGGAAAGATTGGAATAATTGTAGACAGTAAGGAAACAGCCAGTAGGAGTTAAGATGAGAAGAATGGAAAATCATACAGGGGAAAATCTGCTAAAGAAGGATTAAGGACACATATATTCAAGTTTGCCTTTGGAAGAAGGACCACTTCTTCAGTAGGGACAGAAATAGGAAAATAGTGGAGGAAGATGCCTGAGAGAAATGAGATGAAGTAGCACAAGAGAGATCTCTCAGGGAGTGGCCTCAATTTTTTTCAGTGGAGCGTGAGGCCAGGTCCTCAGCTGAGAGGGCTTGAGGAGGGGTGAATTGGTTTGGAATAGCTATGTGTTAAGTGAGAAAACAAATTGATTAGAGAGGTGTAAAAGGAATATGGGGCAACTAAGTGCTGGGTCTGGAGTCAGGAAGACTCAACTCCCTGAGCTCAAATGGGGCCTCAGATACTTACTAGATATGTGAACCTTGGGCAAGTCACTTAATCCTCTTTCCTGATCTGTAAAATGAGCTGAAAATGACTAAACAACAAAAAGCATTTGTTGTAGTGAGGATCCAGTTGAGGAGTATTCTGACTGTCCCAACTACCACCATCAACGAGTTAGGGGATAAGAGTGAAATTAATACTGAAAAGGATGGCCAAAGATAGTGTCATCAGGAAGAAGCCAGGTCTCAGTGAGTACCAGAAGACAGAGAGAATAAGAAAGGAATATGTTTAAGATGAAAGCATGTTTCTGAACTATGGAGCAGGCATTCCAGACACCATATTGTAAGGGGTACGTAGATCTGAAGGTGGACATGGAGGGGAGTGAGGGAAGGAGAATAATTGAGTAGGATGGGAGGAAACAGGTAGTTGGAGATGGGAAATGAGGCATGTGCTTTAGCAGCAGGGTTCACAATCACCAGGATGATGAGGATAAGAGGAGAGAGAATACGCTAATCATTAAAGCATGAGTTCTGGCAGAGTATCAGTGGCTGGAGAGAGGTCTATTGAAGGAGACAGGTGAACAGACTTCAAGGCCCTCCCTCAAGATCCAAACTTGTAACATGCTGTGTCCTTCAAGGCCCAGGATGCCTGTTGCAAGAAGCAGAAACAGGCAAAAGTATCACCTGAAAGACTCCAGCAAGGAAAAAAGAACTATAGTTCAAACTGAATAAAGTTCAGGAAGGGCCTCCAGAGCCTTCCGAGAGAGAAGTCTCTGAGGCAAAGAAGCCACTGTTGGGTGCCCTGTATCAGGAGCTGACTCAGGGCTCTTGGCAGTCTCCACAGCTAAGAGGCCAGAGGCAGGAGGCTTGAAGCATGGCTCCCTAGGAAAGCCCGAGGTTAAAGACAGAATCCAGAGATTAGCGTTGATGATCCACTGATTCAAATCTTACTCATGTTTCCAGGTCCAAGTCTAGTTCTGAACCCCTTTTTGAAGCCTTCTCCAACTAACTCAACCCCACAGCCTATTTAACAGGTTATTTATACCCATTATCTCTGTTTCCTCATCACCCACTCTATCTTTGCCAGTCCCTAGCAATTTTATTCTCCCCCTCCCCACTAACACTTTTCAAAGATCAGCAATAATCTAATATGGCAATTTTTTTTTCAGTCCTTATTCTTCTTGACTTTTTCACACCATCTTACACTTATCTCCTGGATAAACACTGCTTTGGATTTAGAAATTATACACTTTTCTAATTCTCCTGTTTCTCCAATTGCTCATCTACCCCTTTTACTAGCTCCTTATTCTCTTCCCAATACCTTACAATGGATGTTCCAGAGGTTTTATTCTTGGCCCACTTCTCTTCCTGGGTAACCTAGGAAGGCCTCAATTCTTATCTCTCTGAAGATGTCTCCCAGATCTATAACTACAATTCTAACCTTTCTCTCAAGTTCCGTCCAGAGCCTCATCTCCACCTAAAATTTTTAACAACTCAACATGTTCAAAACTGAGCTTATTGGGGCAGCAAGATAGCACAGTGGATAGAGAGCCAGCCCTGGAGTTCAGAGGACCCAAGTTCAAATCCAGCCTCAGACACGTAACACTCACTAGCTGTGTGGCTCCACGCAAGTCACTTAACCCCAACTGCCTTGCCAAAAAACAAACAAACAAAAAAACTGAGCTTATCTTTATCTCTCCCACTGAATTCACTGTCAGTGGTAACACCATTCACTCAGCTTCCAATGTTTGATATCTTGATGTCATTAAATTTTTCCTCATCACAATCAGTGCCCAAGTCTTATTGATTCTACCTCTAGTCCCCTCCTCTTTATTCCCACTGCTACATTAGCAGAAACTCTCACTGCCTCCTGCTCCCTGCAAGGAACTTCTCACAGCTCTTTTGCCTCTACTCTCTTATCTCCATTATTACCCTCCAATCTATTATTCATACTATTGCAATCTTCATTATGCACAAATTTGATTATATCACTTCCTTGCTCAAAAATTTTCAATGGTTTCTTATTACCTACCAAGTTCAAGCAGTCCACAATCTACTGCTAATCTGATGGTCTTTCCAGCTTTATCATGTACTATTTTCTCCTACTTAATCTATATTACAGCCAACCTGACTGCTATCCCCACTAACCATGCCATGCATTTTCCTATTTCTTTGCTTCTGCTCCCTCAGCTCCATATCTGGACTAATCTGTCCTCCTCCACCTGTCTGTTAAAATTTTGCCTATCCTTTAAAACCCAATATTAATTAGCTCCTCTATAAAGCCTTCTCTGATCACTCCAGGGAGTAATTAAGTAATGACCTTCCTTTCAGTGGGATCTCACACTGCAGCTCATTTTGTACTTTTCCACACAATTTTTTGTGTGTTGTTTTATTAGTTATCTCTGTGTGTATGTGTCATCCCCTATCAGACCATGAGCTCTAATAGGGCTAACTTCCATCCTTATCTACACTTTGTAATTCTACACACAAAAGTCATTGAATACATGTTTGGTGAACTGTAATGTCCTAGATAAGGTACAAGTCAACATTAAATTCTTTATAATGCTTTCCCACTAAGCAAGGTTGCAAAGCCCTCCACCCTCAGCTAAAATAATTTCTTACTCATTTCTTTCAAAAGAGGACTCTAGATAGTCAAGGTAAGCAAGATGCCATCTCCAAAATCCACAACCCATGCTTTCATTCATGCCCTCCCCTCTCTAACCCACATTTCTGGTCTTCAAAACCTAGCTCAACACTTACCTCCAAGATTCTAGGATTGACCTCATTGTACATTCTTGTATTAGGAACACCTCAGTCCCCCATGTCTTCAATTTGCACTATATTAACATGTACTCAGAATCAGAATTAGAAGAGAACTCAGAAGTCATCTAATCCAATCTGTACCTGAACAGGAATCCCCTCTACAACATCCTCCAAAGGTGGTTACCCAGTCTACATATGAAGACCTACAGTGATAAAGAACTCAATAATTACACAGGCAACCCATTCCACTTTTGGACAGCTCTAATGACCAGGAAGTTTTTCTTTGTATGCAGATAACCTCTCTACCTCTGCGACTTGTACCTACTGCTCCCAATTCTGCCCTCTAGGACCAAGCAGAAAAAATACCATCCTTCTTTCACCTGACAGATTTCCAAATATTTGAAGGTAATTATCTCTCCCTTAAGGCTTCTCTTCTCTTTTAATTGATGTCCTGTAAAATATCATGGTCTTTGGTCATCTCATCACCCATAATGGTTACCCACCCCCCTCCGGATGCACCTGAAATTTGGCAATGTGCTTCCTAAACTATGGCACTTAGAACCAAACAAAATATTCCAGATGTGATCTGACAAGGGCAGAATATGATGGGATTATCACCTCCCATATTCTGGACACTATAATTCCATAAATGTGGTCTGTGACACTGTTAGTTTGGGCTGACATTACGCTGTTGATTTATATTGACCTTATAAGTCTACTAACTTCCCACATGTTCTATCAAATTTTGTATCCTCAAAGTTTATTACTATTCATGGCCTATAACAAAGGGTTAATAAATGCTTGTTGATTGACAGCTACACTCCTCCATCCTGTACTTTGATTCAAAAAATCAATTCCACAAGTAAAGGATTTTGAATTTCTTAGACTTATTTCACTTTTTTACCCTCTAGCTTGATTTCATTTTTGAAAACTCTTTTAGAGAAAAAAGGTTTTCAGAAACTATTTGAGGCACACTAACTTGTATACAAGACCTAAAACTACTGAAGTTGAAATGTTATCAGATATTTTTATATTATCAGAGACACTATTTAGATCTTTTCGAATCCCAATTCTATTATGACATGTTTACTCCCAGTCTGATGTCATCTGGAGATTCTATAAGTATCCTATCTATGCCTTCACCCAAGTCATTGATAAAAAATGTTGACTAGAATAGGTCTGAGCATCTATTTATCCCCAATAGACTCCACTAGACACCTCCCTCCATGATGACATTCCATTACTCACTACTCTTTCAACTTTATCATTTGATCAGTTACAACTAACTTGACTACATCTACCTCACATCTTTCTATTTTGTCTATAAAGATAACTTGTCAAATGCCTTGCTAAAATCCAGGCATTCCCCTGACCCACCGGTATAATACGTCTGTCAAAAAAAGAACATGCTATTTTGTCTTGACCTGTTCATCTTGAACCCGTGAAGGCTCCCAGTTTTCACTTTCTTTTCTTACTTGGTACAGTTAATTGTTTTAGTCTTTTGTCTTGGGTATGTGTTCTAGATCCTCAAATATAAGGCCCCTGACTGTAATCTTCTACTTTTTTGTATTGGGTCCCCAATGGTTCCCAATAGTATTTCCACAATCACTTAATCTTATTATGATCATTATGGAAATAAACATTAGCAAGTTAAATTTAATGACAAATAAGCTTTTAAATAGCATGAAGATGTTTATAGTAAGCCTAAAATTATGTCGGTTTACTGTGAAGCACTTACATTATTGTTGTGAAGATACTCAATTGCTCGAAGGATCTGGAAGAGGTATTTTCTTAGTCGTTTACTCTCAAGTCCATGACAATAATGCTGTAACTCATCTAAAACTGTGTGATCAATAAATTCAAATACCAAATGAATTTTCTTTTTCTGTCTAAATACTTCAATCAGATTGACCAGGTTTTCATGACGAAATTGCTATTAACAAAAGAAAAAAAGGTTTTCAGAAATTATTCCAAACACTATAACTTGTATAGAAGCCCTACACAATATTGAATCGAGGTTAAAATATTATCACTTTTCCTCTAATATTACAACTTGAGAATCACAAATTAAGAGAATTTTGGTCCACTGAAGGATCTTCTTTAATTGAAGGTAATACCTCCTTGTTAATATAACCCTTCAGTTTTTCACATTTGCTTTTTCCAAAATAACTAGTCAGAAGTATGCCGATGTTGATATTTGGCAAAATGTTAGAGAGTATAAATGTCAACTTTTAAGTTCCACTCGTAAGTCAATCCAATATCTTTATTAAATGGTGGTAAATAACAGCTTTTATATCAGTAGAGCTTACAATCTTAAACTGATTTCAATGACATAGTAGAGGTGACAGACACAATTAACTGCACTGCTTGTGCCTATATATCACAGAACTACCAGTTATTGTAACTTCACTTAGACACTAGGTCCTAAACACTAAAAAACAATGGAAGAAGTATTGGGTAGACATCTAAATAAATTACCAAAATGCAAGAGAATTACTTTAAAATGCCTAAAAACTTCTCATAAGAATTTTTTACTTTAAATATGTACACACAATGTAAACACAACTGTAGGAACTTAACGGGAATTTGTGAAGCTATCTATGAGTGGAACACTGCCATATGTTCACATTATTCAACTAAATATACAAAACGCTTCTTATAAGAACCATCTTGATTTTACACCAGGATTCTTCAAAATCATCTTTCATCATTATATTTTTTAGGATGTCAAAAATATTCTCTCTCAAATCTGTTTAGAAAGCAAAAATGGGGATAATTCATTTAATGCTCAGTCATCTGAGATAACAGTATATTTCAATTCAACTCATATACTCAAGGACTTACTCTTATTGAGCTTACCTCTTATTGAGGTAAAGCTACTGAGCTAATCACTAATGTTCCTAACAGAAAAAAAAAAAACCAACTCATACACCAAAGCAAACATTTTATCATTTCCAGCAAGCCTATTTTCTTTTGACTGGCTGTTGACCTACAGTAAATACTATTTTTGACTATAAACCTTAAATTATAATAAGAAGTTGAATTACCAATTCTCTAAGGAAAAAATTTTATGTGGTAATATTCTGTACCAATTTTATCAAAACTCTTAACTCTAGTTGAAAGAGGTACATTTTAATGTTACATTTATTAGATTATTAAACATTTCATGGTAAAATATTTATATTTATTCTAAGGGACATGTGGATTTTTAAAAACTACTATAAATTAGAGTCTTATGCAATTTCACCTTTTCAATTCTTTTAATGTGACTAAAAGACAAACGTTCTAAAAATCTCTTTAAAGTTTTTTTTTTAAATTTCTTATCCCAGTTCTCAAGTTGGCAAGGTCTGGCATCATAAGGACAGCAGTAAAAAAAGATAATTACTTCTGATCACTACAACACAAACCACTAAACCAAAAGAAGAATACCATAGTTTCCAGCTCAGTTTTTATCGTACCAAGTGGCCTAAAAGTCTGAGTGCAGTTTTAGGCTTTAAGTTTAAATAAATCATACTTAAGACTTTTGGGCCTCTCTGTGTAAAAGACAAAGGTAATAAAAACAAGGATGTTTTAAAAGAGTAGATATACTACAGGTAGGTTATCCAGAATGAGTGTTCGAATCTTCTCTAAACACTACAATGAAATCAAAAACATGCCCAACTTCCTTTTTTTATCCTAGTTTTATTACTTTTTTTTTCTGCAGATGGTAGAGTTGAGCTCCATAGAAACACACCCACTAATGATGTTTTACAGAGCTTTTACAGAAGTTATTACGTCTTCACAGAAATTGGGTTTAGCTCAGATTGTCAGAGTGAGTTAAGACTAAGAATTCTATCTAGTTCAAACTATAAAGCACTATAAAATTCAATGACATCAAGGTAAAGTCATGCTAGAAATAAGCAAATCAGAGATAACACATTTGAGGTATCTCAAAATCATATTTTTATTTAATAGTCATGACATTAATACACATTTTCACAAATGCCTTCAGTCTTGTGACAAATTGGGCATTTTTTTTCCCAAATGATTAAACAGAAAAAATAACCAGCTACAAAACTTTAAAGAAAAACCAAGACAGACAAAAAAACATTTTCTTTGGGAAGAGTTCTATTTCAACCTAAGTATGATAGTAATAAGGGCTATTTTCACTAAGAGTACAGTTTTGAATTAGCACATATTACAATTATAAAAGCGGTCTTAAAAATATATGAAGAACTTGTGATTTCTTCACTGTAAGAACCTAGTGTTGGATGACTTATTAAAGAAGTCTTAAGATTACAAAGTTTAAATGATTTGCCCAGAGTTATACAGCTAGTTTCAGTGGTAGGATTTGAACCTAGATCTTTCTGACTCCAAGGCCAGCACTTTATGCTGCGTCCTGCATTCTCTACAAAATGATACCTACTGGATTCCCCTTTTCATTGTATAGACTACGTCATTTGTTTAAGGCAGAAAATACCTATACCTTTCTTCTTACAAAATTGGTCATAACTAATGTAGATCCATATGCTGGAGAAGGAAATGGAAAATTACTCCAGTATCTTTGCCAAGAAAACCCCAAATGGGGTCACAAAGAGTTGGACACGACTGAAAAACAACTGAACAATGTAGATCCACAAGAGGCAAAAATATTCTTTTTATATTACAGAAAAAAACTATCTCCTTAATAGGTGATCACTATCTATGTTCTGTATACAGCTCAAATTAAAATAAATATCTAAACTAGGCAACTGTATTCTTAAATGTTTAAAAAAGAAAAGCACTACCTTCTAAACAAAACTCAAGAAGTTTTGTTTCACCCTCCCACTTCATAGCCTAGTAAATGAAATACATGCATAAGTCTTTAAAGCATTACATGTGGTCAAGGTTCACACACTACAATTATGCTCTTCTCTCATCTAATTCTTTCTTCCATGTTTTCATTTACTTTTATGATTTCAAAGATCGTTTCTATATAGATCTGCATCTCTTCCCACCTCGAAACTGAAAAAGGAAACTTCAAATAGAAAAAGTCTAAAACTGAACTCATTTTTCCCTTCAAACTAGCTGTTCCTGGACGGTATTGATGCCACAATTCCACCTGTCACTCAGGCTAGAAACTTTGGAACGCTGAAATTGGGGGTGAAAAGATTTGGATTAGATTCCTGAATCTGTCCTTGCCTCCTTGTAAAACTTTGGTGAAAGTCACTTAATTAAGCCTGTTTGCTCTTCTCTAAAATGGGAATAGTGACACTTTCATTACCTAAGGAATGTAAAGCACTTTTTAAAAATTTTAAGAGATGCAGTTTGGCAGCCATCAAGTCTGGTTAAATTCTTCTGAGGGTATTATTTTGTATGTTTGCCTCCTACTCAAAGAACCTTAGCATGAAATTGCAAGGTCCTCCACAATGTGGCCTCAATCTACCTCTCCAACTCAAATCTTCTTACCTACAGAAAATGATCTACCTTCCATATATTCTTACCTCCCCATCTTCTCTTTTGAGGTTACCCTGGCCAGAAACACCTACCCTTCTCTACTTACCTAAATCCTACCCAACCTGTAACATCCAACTCAAATTCTAATTGAACCTTTCCCAAACAACAGGGCGCCTAAGAACCCCTTCCTATAGCACTCACTGTGTGTACAACACATTTGACATTTATATTTTATTAACCTGAATTGCTATTTATCTATCTAAATATGTCTCCTTTTTGTAGACAAAGAGTTGTGCATTTACAACTGCTTAATCTTAATGATTCTTTCATAAAATAGGGCTGTAAAAACTTGAACTTTTGTGCATGCATGTTATATGTGCTATAATTTCAAAATACCTACTTTCTATAACTTCTCTGTATTTTTTTCCATAAATCATAAAAGGTAAACAATAAAATTGATACGACACCTTTTTCTACTAATGTGTATATACATACAAACAGCACATAATTTATCAAAATATCCTAATATGGAAATGACTTTTATCTCCTAGCCATTTCTCTTGACTTACATAGCAATTATGGCAAAAGAAGCAAACCTTTAGAAACTTTATTTCTCTCATTGCAATTTTGTTGACAGATTTTTCCGGTTTTTCATAAAATATCTTAATGGCCACTATCTGCCCAGTATCCTTATGTTTACACTTCATGACTGTTCCATAACTTCCCTCTCCCACTTTTCCAAGGGTTTCATACATCTCCATTTTCAAGACTGGTTTCTAGTTCTTCACAGAAATAAAGGGGGGGAAAAAAGACAAATGTTTATACTTGTATTTGCTCCAAGCTGGAAATCTATTTCTAGGACAAATCCATTTGCACCAGAAGTTATTCCTACACAAAATAAGGATTTTTAAGAAATCTGTGAACGTCTGGTCCCAAATACTAGACGAACAAAGGAGAAAGTAAAAGTTTTCTCCCTTCTCCCCACCCTTCCCCGACTTTCTGCATTTCTTCTGGGGCACTACCGCAGGCGCTCCTCGAAATCTTGTGATTCCGTCCTCATTACACACATAATTCCTAACTGTACTTTTCACATGGCTTCAATCACCCACATTAAACTTTGGGTTCCCACAGATATTCGCTTCCCTTCAACACCTGGGGATCCTCATTCAACACGGGACTCCCATACTTACCCTCCCCCCATCAAACCTGGGATTCCAACACAGCTTCGAACCTCCTACCTACATTCTCTAGGACCCTCCCCATCTTGAAGGTGCCAAGGTGGTGCTGGCAACCCACTCCCCCTGCGCGTACCCAGCGAGGTCTCAGCTTTCCTGCCTCAGCCCTTGGGCAGGTCTCAGCCCTTCAGGCGCCCGCCACCTCCTCCCACCCCCCACACCTGCAAGTCTCACTCCCTCATCAACCCCCAGGGAGGTGCCCCCTACTCCGCTCCCCACATCACCGTCTCCACCCCGGTCAGAACCTCCCTCATGAAGTTCCCAGAGGCCTCGGTCCCCTCACAGGTCACAGTACGACCTCGCCCCCAGAGACCTCTGCCCCAGGCATCCCCCCTGTGCCCCGCCGGAATCACCTCCCATTACCTAGGCTCCCACACTGCCTCAATCCTCCATCCCCCTCATCAAACCCGCGGTTCCCAGGCCCGGCTGCAGCATCCCCCTCTCAGCTCCGCCCTGTCGTTGACCTGGTCAGGGCAGCCGCCGCCGCCGCCTCAGCCCATCCTGCGGCCCCACGGGCCTGGCTCCGAGCAGTCGTGGCCCTAGCCCCAGCCCAGCCGCGAGGACAAGGCCTAGCCGAACGGGCCTCGCCCTGCCCGCCTGCTCTACCACCACTACCATGGCAACGGCGGCAGGGCGGGGACAGGACGCGGCGTGCGCAGGACCGGAAGCTTCTTGAGCCCACCTGGTTCGGGACGGCAAGCAGAGAGGGACAGAAGAGGAAAGAAGGTGGGCCGCGGCCTGGCCTTGCCCTGACCCTGGGGAGGGCGGTAGGTGTGGCGATGGGGGAAGGCGCAAATGGGCCGGAGAAATGCCACCTGTCGTCAGCTTTTTCGCCCGTGGTCATTGGAGCCAGAATGGAGTCTCTCGGGCTCCACTGATTTCTGTCAAAGGGCAGACGGGTCTGTGACCGGGAGAATGTCGGCTGAAATGTGAGGATTCGGGCCTTAGAATCCGAAACGAAAATCCAGGACGCGGCGGAGGGAGAGCCGGGGAGAGGCGCCGGCGGGGCCGGGCAGCCGGGCCGCGACGATCCCGGCTCCAGCCCCCCGATTCAGGCCCTCGGCACCTCCTCTCCGCCCTCCCGGGCTGTTGTCACAGCCTCCTCAGTCACCTAAATGTTATTTTCTGGCCCTCCCTCCCCACCCCCGCTTCCATTGGAAAGAGAAGGAAAAGCAGCCCCCTCGGTCAGAGGTGGGTGAAATGGACCACGGAACCTCTGGAATCCTGACTGGTCCTTGTTCAGCAAGCATTTGTCAAGCACTTAACAGTCAGCAAACATTTATTAGGCATGTGTGTACTAAGCACTGAAAATGCAAGAAAAGGGGGAGAACCCCCAAAACAAAACAGGTCCCTGCCCTCAAAGAGCTCACATTCGAACGGGGAAACAACATGCAAATTATCTATATAGCTACAGTTATACAGTGTGAATGGAAGGTAATCTCAGAGGGAAGGCACTATATAGTGATGGAAGGAGGGAGAGGACTCTTGCCAAAGGGTGGGATTTGAGCTGAGTCTTGAGGGAAGCCGGAGTCCGTCCGAGCTGAAGGGGCTGAGCATTTCCAGAAATGGGGGACAGCCAATGCAAAGGAGATGGAGCATGTAGTTAATAGCAATCAGGCAGAATGTGGTAGAGGGAAGAAAAAGTGTGAGAAGACTGGCAACTCAGGAAGGAGCCAGATTATGAAGAGCTTTAAATGCTAAAGAGGAGTTTATAGGGAGAAAATTGGAGAAATTTTGGAGAAAATAGGGAGCCTCTGGAGCACACTGAGCAAGAGAGTGATATTGTGATCAGATTGTACTTTAGGAAAATCAACTTGGCATCGAGTAGAAAATAGATTTGGTAGATCATTGAAGCAAGAAGGCTTCAAATAATTAGCAGTAGTCCAAAATTGTGAGGGTCTGAACTAGACTTGTGGCTGTATAAGAGCAAGAAAAGGAGATCTATAAGAGAGATGTTTTGAAAAGACAAGATTTAGTAATGGAATGTTTGGGTGATTGAGGAGTCAAGGATGACACCAAAGTTGTGAGCTTAGGTTATTGGATAATGGCATCCTCAACAAAGTTTGGAAGGGGTATGGGGGTAAGTAATGAGTTTTATTTTGGACATGTTAAATTTCAGATACCTACTGTTCAAATTGTCCAAGAGTTCAGGAGACCTAGTGCTGGATATCCAGATTTGGAAATCATCTGCATAGAGAAAATAATTAAAGCCATGGGAGCTGATGAGATCATCAAGTGAGAGTGTATTGAGCAAGAAGAGGGCTCAGGTTGGAACCTTGGGAGACACCCACATTGGTAGGTATGAAACGAAGAACCAGTGAAGGAGACTGAGGAGCAGTTAGATAGGAGAACTGGGTAGAGTGGAGAAGTTGAGAGAAGGTAGGTATAGATTCAGGAAGATCTGGGCCCAGATCCTGCCTCTGCCAAATACTTAAGTTGTGATCATAGGCAAATCACTTAATCTTAGTGCCCTAGTCAACTCTCTTAAAATTAAAGCTACCAGAAATTACCACTGTACATTACTGGAGGGCGTTTCCATCCTGGGAGCTCCCCATATTGATGAAATCACAGGTCTGAACCAAAACAAGAGAGGAAAGACTTTCTGGATCATTGTTTAAGTGGCATTTTGAGAAGGATAAAGGATTAATATCTATATGTGTCAAGGGATGGGAGGAAATATGGGTGTGCCTTTGTAAGTAAAATGCCCTATTTTTTTCTAAAGGAATTATTTTAGCTATGCTGCACATTTCAAATTTGTTTTCTATAGCTGCTAGTCAGAGCCATGGTAAGAAAGCTTTTAGACAAATGTGGGTTTCCTCTCTATTATTCACAACTATGGCCATACTGGTAGAAGTGCTATGAACAACATTAACAATCCCCACAAGAAAAATCAACAGGATGGAGAATATTTATTGTTCAGGTTATCCATTGCAGTTGTAGTTGGATGGGCAGTTCTTTGAGTTAGTCCATGATTACCCATATATCTTGGGGAAACAATGTTAAAAAAAGGAGAAGAACAACAACAAGAAACTGGACCCAGAACTGGAGTTGTCTGTGCTGGATTTATTGAAAAATTACATACCTTTTTCTACAATCCTAAACTTTTTCTGACACAAAACTGCATTTAGAAACTTTTAAAATACTGCAATAGGGAACGACCTCGCGCCTTTGGCATCTGTTTATCTCTTTATTTGTGTGCCTGCTATCTTAGCTCAGGTCCTCATCGCTGCTGGTGTGGACTATTCCAATAGTTGCCTAATTGACTATACAAATATTTCATTCCAGTCAAACTGGGCTACTATTTGTTCCCTGTACTTGATAGTCCACCTCCTACCTCTATGCCTTTGCATGAGCTTTTTTTTTCAATGACTGTCATGTTACCCCTCCTGACCTCTTCCTCTTGGAATCTCCGGTGCCTTTCAAGGCTCAGCTGAGGTGCCACCAACAAATAAGACCCTTCCTCATCTCCAGTTGTTAGTGTCCTCCACCTCCCCACCCCCAAAATTACTTGTACTTTTTTAGTATATACTTTATATTAACGGTTTGTTATATATTGTCAGTGGAAAGTAAGCTAGTGGAGGGGAGGAACTGGTGTTTTTTTAATCTTTGTATCCCTGGTGCCCAGCACAGTGTTTTACACACTGTACAAGCGGATGATAAATACTTGCATTGCATCAGATCTAAACTTCATACTTCTCATGGTACTCATCAAAGTAGTTTTAATAAATGTGTATTGTATTTTTGTGATATTTTCATAAAGTCAAATAATTGTGATAATGTTGTTGTTCAGTGGTTTGGTTGTATCTAACTCTTTTCTATCTAGTAGCCTCTTTGATAATGTTATCAAGTCACATTTATGATAATGTTACAGCCTACTTAAAACCCTGAAGACACACCCCCTCCCTGCTTCCTCATGCTTGACTCTGATCTCTGGGTCCTTTGCAATGACCAGACATAATACATTAAGAGGGGACAATACTTGTGTGAAGGGTACTAAGAATCATACCTTCAAACCCTACCTAGAAAAAAGTCTTGGATTGAGAACCTCTTCACCAGGCTCTAATAAAATAAAGAGTCCAACTTTATTTACAAAGCATCTTTCAAAAAGGTATGTATCTCACTTACCATACATAAAAGACTGTCTCATCTATACTTTTTGTAGCTATCATTTTCTTTAAAAAATTTATTTTTTTCAGTTAGCAAAAATTTCTACCTTCTCTCCCTCTAACTTCAACCCATTTTCTTCCATTTGAAAAAAAAAACCCATTACAAACATAGTCAAGCAAAACAAATTTCTCCATTGACTATGTGCAAATGTCCAAACTGATCATTCTGCACCATTCAGAGGTAGGTAGCATATCTCATCACTAGTTCTCTGAAATCCTGGCTGTTCATTACAGTGATCAGAATCTTTAATTCTTTCAAAGTTGTTTGTCATTACCATATCGTTGTCATTGTTTTCCGGTTCTATTCACTTTGTTCTCCATCAGTTCATACAAGTATTCCCAGGTTGCTCTAAAATCAACCCCTTCATTATTTCTTATAGCACAATAATATTTCATCACATTTATATACCATAATGTGTTTAGCCTTTCTCCAGCTTATGGGAACTCCCTCAGATTCCAATTCTTTGCCACCTCAAAAAAAAAATGTTTTTCTCTGTCCTTAGAATTTGTTTTGCTTAGGACTAATCTCTTCATTAATCTGCCCTTCTAGTTCCCCCTTATCCTTCTCTCCTTTCTCAATTTTCCTGTTGAGTGAAATGTATTTTTGTATACAACTCTAGTGTGTCTGTCTGTATATATTCTTCCCTCCTTTGACCAGTTCAGATGAGAGTAAGGTTCAGGTATCAGCCACTCCAACCCACCTCTTCCTTCTTGTTTGTATAGATGTCTACTTATACACCCTGATTATGTGAGATAATTTTCCCTCACTTTCCTCCCTCTGCTCCTCCAATGTATTCTTCTTCCCCTCACTTTCAGTTCTTTTCTAAAGGTCCTCAGAACATAAGAGAATTACTCCAAGGCCTTGTTTAATTAGTTTCCATGACCCCTGATGATAAGACTCAGAGAGGGCTCATATATCATGTCCCCACATTTGTATGTAAATTAGCAGATCCTTATTTGGTCCCTTAAGTTCCCTTATTTTTGCCTTTTTGTTTCTCTTAATTCCTGTTTAAATTTTGAACTTTCTATGCAGTTCTGGTCTTTCATCAGGAATGCTTGGATGTTCTCTAATTTTGTTAAAGATCCATTTCCCTCCCTGTAGGATTATATTTAGTTTTTCTGGATAATTTATTCTTGGTTATAAACCCATATCCTTTTCCATCTGTAATATCATACTCTAAGGGCTCTGATCCTTTATAGTGGTGACTGCTATGATTATGTGTGGTCCTGGCTGTGGCTCCTCATTTTCAAAAATATTTCTTTCTTGACTGTCATATTTTTTGACGTGGAAGCTCTGGATTTTGACCACAGTGTTCCTGGGAGTTTTCATTTGGGGGTTTGTTTCAGGAAGTAGTCAACAGATTCTTTCTATTTCTACTTTACTCTATGGTTCTAAGAGATCTGGGCAGTTTTCCTTTAAGATTTCCCAAAATGGCCTATCAGATCTATGGAAAGGGG